AGGCAGGTTATCTTACACGCAGGGAAACCGAGGACCCCTGTCCTAGGGCACACAGCCCCAAGGGGCCGCCCAGGGCCTAAACTCATTGCCCTACATCTCCTAGGTAGAGACCGAGTGCACTCCCACAAAGATGAGGGGGGCATCAGGGCCTAGCCAGGAAAGGGAGCAGGTGACCCCCCAGACAGCCCGAGCACCCCTATTTTCAGTCTGAGGAGCTCCAGGCCCTGACCAAGGGAGTGGCAGGAGAGGAGAGAAGCTGGTAGCTTTTATTGGTCCTAAACTGTTTATTTGTGTGACGCGGTATCTTTTTCAAGGCACGTTCACATCCAGGATCTTGTCTGAGCCCCTCACACCAGCATGGGGGTACCAGAGCAGGGTTGCAATGCCCATTTTATAGGTGTGTCCCAGAAGCTTGGAGAATGAGACCCGCACATCTCTTACCTGGCAAAGCTGAGGCTAGGACCCAGCGCTAGTTCCAGAAGGTCCCAGAGGCCTTGGGCTGGGATGAGGGCCACCCTCTGGGGAGAGACCCAGCTCAGACTCCCCCTGCCCATTCCCGCAAATCCTGACAGTTTATTCACCAGGCCGTATGACTCATATCTCCCAGAAGCAGTGCATCTACAGAGAACTCAGATACACCCCTCAGCAGGAGAGTGCCTACCCTACCCAGGCCGCAGTTTCTTCACCTGTAGCTTGGGCTTAATAATAGCATTCATTAGTAATTATTAGTAATAGAATCCAAAGGGCTATTGTGAAGAGTCCCTGAGGTGCTGTGTGTAATGCGTTCGGGCAGTGTCTGGCCCACGGGAATCCCTTGTTACACTCATCTGATAGCAGCACTTTGCGTCACGGGCCTAGGCCCAGGAGGCCCTTGGAGGAGACGCAGAGGGTCCCCCTCTCGCAGCCCAGTGCCCACTAGGGCAGACAGAGCAGGTGCGAGTGCAGCCAGGCAAGGCCTGGACAGAGAGAGGCCCAGGGGGTGGGCAGCTAGCCCAGCCAGTGGGCCTCCAAGGCCCCTAAAAGGGGTGCCCTCTAAGACCGGGTGTGAATTCAGTCCAGGCAAGGAAAGAGGGCCTGTGTTCTGGCCAGAAGGCACAGCAGGTCTGCTCAGGGCCGGCAGAAACTCGGCATAGTTGGAGCGTGGGGTCAGTGCAGGGAGGGGAGGCCAGCTCCCAGGAGGCCCGAGGAGGCCCCTGCCTCCACCCCCCACTGGGAGCTTGGCCTTCTGGGGCACAGCTGAGCTCAGAGAGTGGGAGGGTAGGAGAGAGAAAACATGCTGTGCTGTGGAGAGAGGTGCAGGTCAGGTGGTAAGGGGGGCACAGGGAGGGGCCAGGTGGGCAGAGTGCCCGCTCTGGGGTGCAGACAGTCTGGGTGGGGCTATTGTCAGTGTGGAGGGGCAAGCAGCTAGGAAAGGGGCCCTCTTTTCTCATTCAAATGGAGGCGTGTGGGCCAGCTGGGGTGCTGCAGGCCACCCCCAGGCCGCTTCCCTGGACCCGAGCCCCCGTCCTAGGGAAGAGTTGCCCCCAGCCTCCCAACAGCTGCCCTCTAGACTCTGAGCCTTCCTGGGCTGGTGACCCAGTACGGAACAAGAAGGGGATTCCCTGGTGGCCCTCCCGGAGTCGTCTCTTCTGAGCCAAGAGCCCCGACTGCCTGCACTCTGCTGTGCGACCTCCCAGAATCCCTTCCCCTGTCCGGGCCTGTTTCCTTCCTCCTCTCAAGTCCTGGCACTGGCACCCATTTAGTCTGGGGAGGGACACAGGCCAGCAACTGGGCCTCCCTGCTGCCTGGATCCCTTCACGCTCCCTCCAGGGGGCCTGGGACCCATGCATGCAGGGCAGACCTTGCAAAGGGCAAGACCAGACACCCCCAGATCTGCTGCCCTCCCCAAACAGGCTCAGCTGGGGTCAGGCCCTCTTTAGGGCTGTCAGGATGCCGAGCTTAGTGCCTTCCCTCAGCAGGGGGAGCCCTTGTCCCCCCACATCTGACAGGCCCCCTTCTGCTCCCAGGGGCAGCCAAGGGTTGGCGACATCTCTGCTGGCTGCCTCCCTCCTTCCCCACCTTTTTCCCACAGCTGTGGGTCCTCCCACCTCCGCCTGGGACTTCTGTCAATGCTGAATTCATGACATCTCAGAGGGAGGGCTTCTGGGTGGGTGGACAGATGGGAGGGGGAGATGCTCTAGGGCCCCTACCCCCCTTCCCTCTTTTGCAGGGCCTGAGCAAGCAAAACAGAGTCCTTTGGATAGACTAACGAGAACATCTTGGGCAGGAGCAATGCGTGTGTCTGGGTACAGGACTGGGCTGGCAGAGGACAGTCCTGCCCAACAAAGAGACCCTGTGGGACCTCAAGCAAACTCTGGGGGTGTCAGTGACCAAGGAGTCCTGAGCAGGAGGGAACTCAGGAACAGTCAGTTTGAGCAGACCCGGGATGAATCCCTGCTCTTCCACTCCCTAGCTGTGTGACCTTGGACAAGTCACTGGACTTCCTCCGTGTTTCAGTTCCCTCCTGCTGTAAAAGAAAGGGAAGTAGTGACACCTATTCTAAAGGGTTGCTGTCACAGAGTAGACGTAAAGAATCTAACACAGTACCTAATGTCTAGTAGGTGCCCCGTAACTGGTAGTGTAATTGTTTTTATTCCCGTGGACAAGTAGCCACATAGTACTTTAGTGCATCGTGCTTGGTCATCTTAGGTGAACGGCATCCCCTCTCTTGGCCACCTGTCAAAAGGAAGGGCTTGGGGCAGAGGAAGACCCAGGTTTCCTTCTGGTGTGAGCTTGTGTGACCCGGAGGCAGTCTGGGTTGAAGGGAATGAGAAGCCTTTGGAAGGAACAGAAAAGTGGGTGGAGTCGAAGGGAAGGCAAAGCGTGGGAGGAGCCAGGGAGGGACCGGGTGGGAGGAGCAAGAAGGACCGACTGAGCGGCCAGGGGATCAGAAGGAGTAGGCGCCCTGGACACCCGAGGAACTTCCGGCTTGCTGGAGGTGGAGCAGGTTGACTCGCTTAGAGGGCTGATGCCTAGAGACTGGCCCCTGGGGCTGGGGGTGCCCTTCCCGATTCCAGAATGGACCACTAGACCTTGAATGGCCACCTCCCCAGACTCAGAGGAAAACAGGTGGAGTGAGAACCACTGGCCAGTAAGTGGGCCATTATTTCTCCCATGAGCTCTCCCAGGGCACTGTGCGTGACCTCAGGGGCATCCCCTCTGTCCCCCATGCAGATGAGGGGTGGGCAGAGAAACATGAGATCAAACCAGGGCAAAGAGCTTTTCTAGCCTTTTCCAGGAAGGACCGGAACCTTCCCACTGAACAAAAGTGGCCAGTCTCAGGGGATGGCTGAGGCCGGGTAGTCTGGGCAGACAGGGCACCAACGCAGCCAGCCCCTTTGGCCTTGGCGATGCGGATCACCCGCTGGTTGGCATTCCTGCCCTCTTTCTGTAATAGTGGTTAGAGCATGGTCTTTGGAGTCCGAGACCTGTAGGCTTGAATTCCACGTATGTGCTGAGAAAGCCACTCACTTCTCCCAGCCTTGGTTGTCCACAGGAAGGGGTGGTACTGGAGCAGAGGCCATGTGGGGGGCAGGGGCTCAGGCTTAGTGTACCAGTGCTTAAAGGGCTAAGGAGGAGGAGGGGGTAGAGCTCTCCTTCTCCCTTTTCCCGTCCTCACATGGTACCTCCTTTGAGCAGGGCAGTGGGGCATGTGCTCCCGGACGGTGCAGGGGCCATGCAGATGTGCCCTCCAGCCCGTTTCCCCATCTTAGCCCACTCTCCAGCTGCCTCTCCCAGCGGCCCACACTCAGTCCGCAGGTGAATGGCGCATGCAGCATCTCCTCAGATCTCCCTGGGGTTCAGCAGGGAAACTGCTTGCTGCACGTGTCCAGGGAGGAGCCCTGAGACAGTGGCCTGTGTGAATGGCCGGCCCCAGGGCGGGGCAGCTGGCGTGAGCTAGACAAGTAGGTCACGGGCCCAGGACTAAGTCTGGCTGCCTAGGAGGGGCAGGAGGCTGCCTTCCCAGGGAGCCTGGGAAACCCTCTCCCTACTGGGCCACAGGCAGGGGTGGGAAGTCAGGGCCCCCGGTGGCTTTGTACCCTACACAATTGCAGCGGCTCTTCCGGATAAAGGGGCAAACAAAGGGGCCTTCGGAAGTGGCCACACTACTCAGCACCCGTGGAGGCCCCAGGAAGCCAGCTATCATGGGCCGGCCACCCAGGCATCCTCCCAGCACACCCCTGCCACCCAACCTCCCAGCCAGCTGGGCCCCAGCCACCCACAGCCTGGGCAGCTGGGCTGGGGTTAATGAAAGCTGAGGGAACACCACCCTGCTGGCCAGGAGGCCCAGAAAGGATCAGAAGAGCTCCAGCAGAGGTCGGTGGAGGAACTAAAAGGCTGCCTTATTACTTTCCAGCAATGCAGCAGGAGCTGGCGAGGGGTGGGAGTGGACTTCAGAAAGGCCTCTGAGGCAGCCAGTTTGCAAACAGGATACGGCTCCAGGAGGCTAGACATAGCTTCTCTTCTGAACCACCTCCCACGGGCCAGTCACAACTACAAGGCCCCTGTCCTCAGCCAACTCAGGTGTCAGCTGGGACTCTCACACTAGGGCCAGGCACTAAGGGAAGTATCCCAGAGGCGCCCAGAAGCAGGAGTTGGCAGGCCTGGGCTCTGCGCTCTGGTTGTGTGATCTCAGTGGGCTTCTTAACCCACTGAGCCAGGGTTCCTTCCCCTCTAAATAGCTTGTAGAGAAATAGTGCTGGTAGGACGGGCTGTGCACGACAGGAGGTGCTGGGTACCAGGCCCGGCACACAGGATACGCTCTATGACGACAGCTGTATTTCTCAGGCCGTTAGAATGCAGAATGATTATCAATTCTAAATCGGTTCTGCCCCAAAGTAGTGCTCAGACTACGGCTTCCAGCAATCCAGTAACACATGGCATGTGTTGGGGTGAAAGAGTTGGGACCATAGAGCTCCTTCTACACCCACCACCCCATTTTTTAAAAGTAACTTCTTTATTTTGGAATAACTCCAGACTTACAGAAAAGTTGTAGGTGTTCCAGTATACCCTTCATCCAGATTTCCCGGACAACTTATGTAACCATGGTACACTTGTCAAATTAAGAGTTAACATTTCTACAATACAGCAGCTCCTCTTATCTGCAGGGGACACGTTCCCCCCATTCAGTGGATGCCTGAGACCACGGATTATACCGACCCCTATATATACTATGTTTTTCCTATACAGATACACCTATGATAAAATTTAATTAGTAAGTTAGGCACAGTGAAAGATTAACAACAATAATGAATAATAAAGTAGAATATACTGTAATAAAAGTTATGGGCCCATGGTCTCTGGCTGTCCCTAAACACCTTATTGTCCTGCACTCACCCTTCTTGTGATCATGTGAGATGGTAAAATGCCTCCATGATGAGATGGAGGGAGGGGCCTGGCATGCGCACTGGGACACAGGGTGAAGCTACTACTGACCTTCGGATGGCCTTCTTTCAACCTCAGTGGACCCTGCAGGTAACTGAACCTGTGGAGAAGGGGGTACTGCTGCACCATGAAATAAACTTCAGATTTACCAGGGTTCGGGTTTCACCAGCTTTTCCACTGATGTCCCTTGTGCCAGGGTCCAGTCCAGGGTACCACACTGTCGCTGGCCATCCGGGTTTTAATGGATGAAAGAACGGAGGTGTCGCTCTTCATCAGGCAGAGCTCTCAGCAAAGCTGTCTCCGCCGTGGGCACCAGATCACACGCCATCCGGCCCTGGCTTCAGAGTCTCTCCCATCAGGAGGTGGGTCCCCTCAGCTCATTGGTGCACGCACGTAGGGGCTGCTCTTGGCAGAGCTCTGCATTAATGAAGGATTTCAGTGGCTTCTTGCAGCCTGGAGGTCAGAAGGGAGAGTTTTAGAGCTGTGGTGGACCACACAGATGGCAACTGGGGCCCCAAAAGCGTATGGGAGGCCCTATGTCCCTGCTAGCTGGTGCAGGCACACATCCCCTGCCCTAAGTCAGGCCCTTCTGTAGCTCAGAGGGTGGCTCTGAAACCAGAACTCTCCCCATCCACCCACCCAGTACTCGCATGAGAACCAGAAGGAGTCCCAGCCTGCCCCCCAAGCCCACATGGGTGACTTTCCTCTTAGATCCAGGTCATGGCATCTGACCCTGGGCACCTCTGGGTCCCAGCCTATCCCCGGAGCAGGGAGTTGGCCGGGCCCCCAAGACCAGTGGAGGGAAGGCCCTGTTGCCTCGGGGGAGGACAGGACAATGCCCCCTTTTTCCGGCAGCTGGCAGAGCCTTCCAGGCCCTGCGCTTCTGAATGCCCTTTGGAGCGAGACACTGGACTCTGTTTGCCAGGCAGCCCCGTGCCAGGCCCGCCACCACCCAGAGAGAAGGAGCCTTTCTTCCCTGCTGGCCAAAGCCATGGCTCCCAAGAGAGCAGCAGCAGCAAGGGGGGCTGCCCTCTGTTCAGGAAACCGAGGCTTCCCGCCACCCTGCCCCACCTCCGCTTGGGAACCTCAGAGCTGGAAAGAGAAGTGTGTCACCCCCTTTGTGAGCCAGGCCTGCTCCCTCCTGACTCCAAGGCTACAGGATTCCCTCCCCAGCTTGGCTCTCAGCCTCAGCCCCCATTTCACCCCCTACCTATTCATCAACTGCTCTGAAGACCTTTCACAAGGCTCATCCTGTTGGCCTGGAAAGGGGTTTGCGCTGAAGCCCGCTGATGGCTGTGTTTGGAAGGAGAAAGAGCTCCCAATTGGAGCTACTGTGCCTTCTTTGAAGGTGGACCCGAGGCCCAGAGAGGTGACGGATGAGCCTGGGGGAGGAGCATGGATGGGGCACCAGACCCAGTTCAGGACTGCAGTCCCATGTGGCTCCCAGGCCGTTTTATCCAAGGACCCCCAGTTCCATATAAGGGGTGCACCAAGACAGCCAGAGGGCTTGGTCACTGCCGGGGCTGTTGAAGCCCGATCTGGGGTCCGTGGATCAGCCAGGGCAGGGAGTGCTGGGACTTCCTGCAGGACTGGGAGTCACTGGGAAGACAGTTTCAGATAGATTGTCAGAGACTTTTAGGAGAGCCAGGCTTGGGGGCGCCCTCCACCACTGGGCCAATTCTGGGGACACCCTCATCCAGAAAACCTGGGACAGCACCACCCCTCGCTGTGAGCCCACCCACAGCAGCAGACCCTCCGGACCCCCCAGGCCAGAGTGAGGTTGCACGGGTGGAGATGGTCACCACATATGGACCACATGCCCACAGACGGGAACTGGAGTTGTGCACAGAAGCACATACACCAGGACACAAAGGCCCACTACTGACAGATCTGTGGAGACACGCAGATGAACCCCACAAACAGACACACAATGGATAACAGTTGTGGGGATGCCTGATCATCTCACAACACACCCCAGACACACAAAGAGACATAAAGACACACACACACACACACACATACACACACACACACACACACACACAGGAAACCCAAAGACAGACACCTCACAGACTCAGACACAAACACACCCGGACCTACAAAGATAAACATACCAAGGGTGTCCCAAGGGACCTGGTCTGGGGGCAGGCAAGTACCTCATCTGTAGAGAATTTAAAAACAATAATAAAACCCACCTTCAGCCTGCTTTTTTATTATTTATTAAGTCTGCATTGGAAATTCTTTATTTCCAGTGCAGTAACAAGATACTACCTCCCCACCAAATTATCTCATTAATTCCAACAAATTAGAATTTGGGTCTTTTTTCACATCATTTATATTACTGTAAAATATACACAATATACAGTTAGGTGTTTTTTCTATTTTTTTATTGTGACTATTTTAAGCACTTTTAGGTGTACAGTTCAGTAGCATTGAGTACATTCACAGTGTCGTGCAATCACCACTACTATCTATTTCCAGAACTTCTTCATCCCAAACAGAACTCTGTACCTGGTGAACGTGAACTCCCATTCCGCCTCCCCAGCCCTTCCAACCTCCTTCTACTTCCTGTCACTATGAATTTGTCTCCTCTAGGTTTCTCATATAAGTCAGATCATGCAATACATATCCTTTTGTGTCTTAATCTGTTGGCTTTAATAATAAATATGTAGACTTCAAGTCAGTACATTTTTATTATTTATCTCTGTATTAACCCTGTGTTCTACGTGGACCTTAATTCCCACTCCTAATTCCTATTCCAACTCCCAGCTCCACAGCTGGACCCCATCCGGGGGTTGGAAATCACCAGGTGGCTTTCAGGAGCAGTTTGGGTCACTAAGCCCTAGCTCTGCGACACTCAATTTGTAGAAACGGAACTTGAGTTGCTTAGTTTTATTTGTATTTAAATTTTAAAACACTGAATCAGAGAGCGAGTTGTAAGGCCATAGTAATTTTGTTAGGAAAGTGCAAATTTTAGATGACACAGGAATTTGAATACTTTGTTTAAAATTGAAGTTTCTTCTTTTTAAGTTGTTGGTCTTTAATTCCTATTTAATTCTAATGTAATTTTATTCATTACTGGGACATATCAATATGTAGGTATGTGTTTCCCCCATTTTAAAAATAATGTAATTTAAAAGTATGCATCCATCTTTCCTTTTTTTTTTGTACCAAAATGTTCATTGTATTTTAAATTTTATTTATTCTTGAAATGGCATGAATGTATATACAAAATTCAAGAAAAGAAATTTTGGCTGTCCCCCATTTATTCTATTTATTGCTATTCATTTCATGATTATTACTGCCAATAATTTTGTCTTATAGAAAGTGGGTGGTGTTAAATATTGGCTCAGGGTATATGCTATCTGTGCCCTGACATACACAAGTACATCTCTCTCTCTCTCTTTCTCACACACATACACACGCACACACAATATGTAGATAAATCCCCCTACCCCGCCACGCCCCCTTTCTCGTATGAAAAACCATTGTTAAATGCCCAAAGCCACTGATCACGAGGCGCTTAAGTCTCCCTGGCAGACAGCGTTCCTGGTGGTGGAAAAGTGGGTCACCGACCACAGGGATCTGCCCAGATTGGGCACCCCTGAGCAAGGCGGGGCCTGGAGTAAATGGGCAGGAGACCCCAGGAGATGTCTGGAGTCAGAACCCCTGCCCCTCGCCCCAAGGTTATCTTCCCCACTGCACTTCCATGGTATACCACGAGGTGCCGCTGTGGCAAAGCGATCTCTGCCTACGGCCCTTTCCGAACCACTGGGCCAAGTTGGCAGAGCGCCCTCCCCGGTGCCTGGCACTGCGCCCGGCCCGGGGAATCCAGGAGAGTAAGTACAGCCTAGCCAGAGGGACTCACAAGGAAGCCAGTAGTAACGGTGGCCGGTGCCGGCGCTGTATACTGCATGCTGTTTCCAGGGCCAAGGAAGCTGTGCCTTGAGCAATGGCAGGCGGAGCCAGAAGCCAGGAAGGATGCCCCGAGCAGAGGCAGAGGTGTGCACAGGCGGTGACAAGGAGGCTGGGGAGCGGTCGGAAGGGGGCTGGTCACCAAGAGCCTTTAGTCTCAGCCCGACCCCTTGGGACCCTGGGACATGAGAGGGCCACACAAAGACGTGGTTGGATGTAAACTTGGAAAAGTACTCAGCTGTCATTTGTGTCCAGAAAATGGAAGACGCCCCACAAAAGAAAGAATATGTATGCATACACTCATGGATATCCATAAAATATATCCAGAAGATACACAACAATAATGGACGTTAGTTTCCTCTGAGAATAGGACTCCTGGCTACACACAGGGGTGGAAGGAAAACTTACATTGTGTGCATTTTGTTTATTTCGCCTCTTGAGCCATGTGAACGAACCACCTTTCTGAAAAATAAATGAAAATTATAAACTTGAAAATTGTCAGGTCTTTATAATTTAAAAAAATAAAAATCACTTTGGTTGTCTTGTGTTGGGTGAATCGGAGGACAGACACTGGGGGCAGGGTGTCCCAGGGAGAGATGGAAGGGACCTGGGCCAGGCAGGGAGGCTGGGTGCCCGTGGGGGTGAGCTGGGAATCTCCAGGGTTCCACTTATGAGCTTTTCTGGGGCTACAAAAATACAAGGGGCATGCAAAAGTACAAATCCAAATAAACAAATGTTTGAAGATGTCTGTAGAATGAAACTAGTGCCAACCAGCCAATTGCCACACAGCTCACAGAGTAACTTATATTCAATGTGAGTGGTTGTTAACAGGTTTGACAGGCTGAGGAAGGGATGCATGCCTGAGGGGACCCCTGTGGGACTTGCCATTCTATACTCCAGGGCTGAAGCCAGGCACCAAGGGCCTCGGAAGTCACACCCCAGACCAGGAGCAAGTTTCTGAGGCTACAGATAGTCCTAGACATCCTCACCCCACTCTGCTCCAGGTGAGGAGTCTGAGCAGGGGCAGGAGGCAGCTCCCAGCAGTGGGGCTCTCTCAAGGAAGGGTATGCAGAGAAACAGCGGTGGAATATCTGCAGTGACAGAGAACCTGGAGACCATGATGGTCAAACTTCCTCCTCGGACAGAAAAGGCAGCTGAGCACAGAAAGGGATAGAGATTGCCCCAAGACCACACAGCAGTTAGCTCCAGGGCTGAGACTCACCCCAGCTCCTCTGCCTCCCAACCCTCAGTGGCCTCCACAAGGCCACACTGATACGATACACCCCCATTCCAGAAGCCAGGAGGTGACTTCCAGGGGACCTATCAGGCAGAACGGTCCGCCATTCACGGCTCCAGAAGGATTGTTGGTAGGGGTCACAAAGAACTCCACATACCAAGCCCTGCAAATGCTGTGCCTTCTGCAGAAAGGGGTGGAGGGCAGGTCTTGCTCTAGACCTCTGGACATTTGCCCGGCCCAGGAAGGCTCAACCACCTGTGTCACAGGCGTCTGAGCTGGCCGTCCCCTTGCATGCTTCCCTCACATGTGAAAAACACTGGCTCGTCCAGCCTCACAATCCTGATGTACACAAAGGAATGGATTTCCAGATTTGATTACTTAAACATTTAAAACTTATAAGGCAAAAATGCCTTATATGAAGTTTAAAGAAAAGAGATGATTAGAAGAAAATGTTAACAACATAAAATAGAGGAATAATATCTATATGAAGGGTTCTTACAGATTAGTTTTTAAGAGACGAGTAACCCAACAGAAGGTAAAGGTCCAGTGAGATAATAAGTAGCAGGAAAGGGATTTCATATGGTGGGAGGAGCTGAATAAACCTGAGTATCTGTGTCCTGGAAAAAATCAGGGAGACGGGGCTTTTTCTCTCTGTGGGCACAGGACCAGCCTGCCATTCTCTGCCTCCTTTTTCTTTCTGGCTAAGAGATGTTGAGTATTTTCTGTGCCAATCAGAAACACACACACACACATACACCTAAGAAAACTTTCTTTTAAGAGCCCCTCTGTGTATCTGCTAAGATTTTTCAGTCCCAGAAAGGGACCCCAAGAGTAGACCGTGAACCCTGTGAGAAACAGCTGAGTTTGAGCTCTGACGTGGCCACTCTTGGTCACCTCCCCTACCTCTGCTGCCTTCTCCTCCTGCTAACAGAGCTCCAGTTTCGTTCAGGCAGCCACCCCACTCCCAGCCAAACAAAGGATTCCTGATTGAAGCAGACCAGAGACCTGCCAGAGGGGCAGCAATATCCTCAGGGGCATTTACATTTCTGTGGGACATTTTTGCTTGTCACACTGTGGGAACACTGTGCTTATCTGGTGGACTGCGATGGGACTAGAAATCCTGATAGTCTTATGTAACAAAGCTCTGGCCTGAATCCGACATGACTTTCAAATATCCCACTGAACAGAGACGTAAGTGAAAAATCTCAGCCTAGAACCTAGTCCCCCTTTACATGTTAACAGAAAGGTTTTTTTGCACAGCTTTAGGACAGCCTTGACTATATATACCACAGCACAACAGCCACTGTGTCCAATGAGGAAGCTGATGCTCTGTGTCACTTAGAGACTTCCCGAGAATTAAACATTTCAACACGATGACTACCTGTGGCATTTTAGTCACCAAAGCAATCCACCTGTATCTGTCTGCATCCATTGCTGCCACATTAATGGAGATTTTATATGCAGGGGAAGGCATCTGAGTGTTTCATTTTATGTCCCCTAGAATATTTGTGCCTGAGCATATATCGTGAAATACATATTATTCTATTACACATTTCCTTTTGTTCTTCCTTTAAAGTTAAGGCCATGTATTGATTTTTTTTTGCAACGGGATGTGTAAGTGGGTTCTATTTTCCCACAAACATCATGAGGATAGTAATATTTGTTATGGAAAGGGTGCGATGGGCCTGGTGAGGTTAGAAACAGCTGGTCTGAGCCAGTCAGTGCCATCTGCCCTGGTGATGAGTATGGGTCCATGGATGGGGTGAAGCATTTTCTCTCATCTCTCTTTGGCATGAACAAGCAGGCAATCGCATAGCCCTGGCAGCCACCTTGTGGGTGTGAAGAGGGGATGTTCCTAAGGATAAAGCCCACGTGCAGGACAGAGCTGGAGGGTCTGGCTCCCTGTGACCTCACTGAGCCCTCATGCTACAGGGTCCCAGGGTGCCCTTCCTCTAGGCCTCTGGCTCTGTGACGCTCATGTTTCTATGGGGAAGGAGGTGGCAACCAGCCATGAGGTACAATGGCAGGAGCAGTTTGGGTTAAAATAGCACTACAGCCTCCGTTTCCCCTTCAGGAGGGAACCCCAGGAAGGAAGGCTACACCCCCATCTCACTGTTGATACCAACAAGGCTCAGTGTTTCTGGCCTTTTAAAGGCCACCAGGAGCCGTATCTCAGGAGAGGCAGCTGCTGCTGAGGACTCCCGCCCTAGGCTCTCCCCACCTCTCAGAAATGTTCATGGGGCTCAAAGGAAGTCTAGCAGATCCACGAGTCTAGATCTGCATAAGAACTTGAGCCTGAGTATCACTGGGTAAACCAAGAGTAAACTGAGACCCAAGCCACAGAAAAGCCAGTTCAGCAGAAACGTGGCATGTTACACACATCTGGAAAGGTCCTGGGAATTGCTCGGTCCAGTTTCCTTGTGTGTCAGTCAGAATAGTATTGTTATGCTACAGTAACAAACAACCCCCCAGATCTTAGTGGTTTAAAGCAACATCATGTATTTCTCACTCATGTCTACACGCTCACTGCAGGTTAGGTTTGGCAAGGGGCTTCTGCTCGTCAGTCACTCAGGGATGCAGGCTGAAGGGAGCCCCACACCAAGCTCTGTACTTCCACAATGGCCAAGGGAGAGAGAAGTGAGAGCATGGCAAACCCCAAATTAACTGTCCTTTAAAGCTGCTCCTGAAAAATGTCACCTGTCTCTTTCACTCATGTTTCATTGGCCCAAACAAGTCCCATGCCGTGCCTGTGTTCACCAGGTTTGCGATATAATCCTCCTGATTCAGTGAAGGGAGGGACCTGAACGTGGAAGAACAGAACTACAGTCTCCTACACCTGGTTTGCAGTCCATGGGGCCATCCTGATTCTACCTGCGCTCCCGGAAGAACATTTCCATGACAGCAGATCTGACTGTGCCTGCGCCCATTTGAAGGCCTTCAGGGGGACCCCATCCCTGACCTGACACAGTTCAAACCCTCAACCTGGCTGCCACAGCAGTGGCTCCTGCCCACTTCCCCTCCTCCTGTCCTTTTCCCCCCACTTATTAATGCATCCTTAAATATTCACTCTGGACCTCTGTTAAACTGACCACTATGCCGAATGCTGGTCAGGAAAGCATCCAAGACCACTCCTGTGAGCCCCTTAGGGGCCAGGACCATCTGTTCATACCTAAAGACTCCCAACTCCAGCAGCCTCTGAGGGCTTCATACCTTAGGGCTTTTGCCTAAAGCCCTACCACCGTCCCTCCTCCCACATCCAACCTGGATCCTCCCTGACTTCTGCAAGCTGGGCCGTGCCCTTCCTGGACACGCCATGACCACAGAAGCTATGCAATGTGTTATTACATGAACTGTTTGCTTGTCTGTCACCCCGAGCAGATTGTGGGCTCCTCAAAGATTATCATGGGTAATCCATTATGTAAAATGACAACAATGTAAATGTTCAACCATAAAGGATTGTTAAACAGGTCATGGCCATTTATATTCTAGAACATTACAAAACCATTTTAAATGATGAGGTAATATTCTTTGAATTAGCAAGTCTCCTTTAGAACTGCAATCTCAGATACAGTGGTGCAGCCTTACCTGCAGCAATAACCTAAGTGTCCACCAATAGGATACTGGTTAGATGTGTTAGACTGGTTAGCCAGAGACGGGTAAGATTCCTCAAGGGAGGAACAACCTAAGACAGGCACAGTCGCAGGGGGGTCATCAGGTGAGAAATTGGGGATCAACAGAGGTGAGGCTCAGAACCTCACCCCCCCTGCTTTGAGAGAAATCTTCTGCATCCGTGGATGTCTTGCTGCCCTTGTCTAGCCTGGATTAATACTTAGTCCATAGGCACACACCTGATCATCTGATCATCTACATTTGCCTTCTTACAGCACTAAACTATGTTTTCTACCTTTATCTTGCATCTACCTACCACTTCAGCATTTTATTAAAAATAAAAATAATAATAATAATAGGAGAAATGTGGGATCAACATATAAATCAAGTACAAAAATCAAACGAATATTCATATTTGACCTGATTGTTTATAGGTCATAATGCATGATCAAAACCGAAAGTTTCTGTGATGAATGCCCTTGTACTGTTCACCATGTAAGAACTTATTCACTATGTAAGAATTCGTTCCCCATGTAAGAACTTGTTCGTTATGCTTCAGAAGATTGGAGACTGTTGAGAATTAGGCTTGGGGTCGATTAATGACTGTGCATTGAGT